GCACATGCATACGAGCTCATCCCGCCCCTCCAAAAGCATGGGCCACTTCTATGCGCGTGAGCACATTCCGCCCCCTTAACACGAGCACACCCCTCTGCAAGCGTGCCCCACACCTCCATGAGCGCACTCCCTCCCCTCCACGAGTGCAGGTGGTTTCCCCCCCCAAATGGACCCCACCCCCTCGAACCCGTCCACAACTCAAAAAAAGGTTTGGGACCACTGGATTAAAGGATGTTTTTGGAAGTCAGTGATCTTAAGGGCAATTAACAAGTGAAGCCAATTTTCACAATTCAAGCTGTCATTACCTTGTCATTTAATAATGTCCAGTTTTGATTTCTGCGGTAGGATTGTCAAAAACTCATAAAATAGAATCAGGCTTCTCAGAATGAGGGAGTCCCTACTAATTCTGTACAAAGTGCTTGCAAACGTTAAGGCTAAGACTCTCCTAAAATATAAGAGGACTCTTACACTGAAGAATCACAACATTAAGACCACCTGCCTAACATTGTGTAGGTAGGTCTCCCTCCTATTGCAAAAACAACTGATATATCAAGATATAGACTCCACAAGCCCCCTGAATTTGTCCTACGGTATCTGGCACCAAGACATTAGCAATAGATCCTTTAAAACTGCAAGTTGTGAGGTGTGGCCTCCATGGATTGGATTTGGTGTTCAGCATACGCCATAAATCTGCAATTAAGAGATGTGAGGAATTTGAAGGCCAAGGCAACACTTTGAACTCTTTGTCATGTTATTCTAACCATTCCTGAAACATTTTTGCAGTGTGGCAGGGTGCATTATCCTGCTGAAAGAGGCCATTGCCCTCAGGGAACACCATTGCCATTATGAGGTGTATGTGGTCTGCAACAATCTCTAGGTAGGTGATACATGTCAAAATAACATCCACATGAATGCCAGGACCCAAGGTTTCCCAGCAGGACATAACCCAGAGTATAACATTGCCTCTGCCGGCCTGCTGTCTTCCCATAGTGCATTCTGCTGCCTTATCTTTCCCACATAACCGATATACATATATCTGGCCATCCGCCTGACCTAAAAGAAAACATGATTAATCAGATCAGGCAACCTTTTTCATTGCTCCATGGTCCAGTTCTGACACTCATATCCCCATTGTAGGTGCTTCTGGCAGTGACCCCTTATAATGTGCATTCTGACCTGTCTGCAGCTCCACAGCCCCGTACACAGGCAATTCTTATGCAATGTGTGTTCTGACACCTTTCTATCATGGCCACCATTAAGTTTTTTAGCCATTTGAGCTAAAGTAGCTCTTCTGTGTGATTGGACCAAATGGCCTTTGCTCTCCACATGCATGAGTGAACCTTATCGGGAAGTTGAGTCATGACAATTTGACTTCTTTATTAGGTTGAAACGTTTCACTACTAATCCAAGTTGCTTCTTCAGTTTGAGAACTGGTATGAGACCCCTGATATATCCTCCATGGTTTGAGAATTGGTACGAGACCCCTGATATATCCTCCATGTTGGTTTCACTTCCCCCTGGTCTGAATAGGCTTGTTAGATGGACACCTTGTCTCGGATTGACTTGGATGAGTAGCAAAACATTTCAACCTAATATGAAAGAAGTCCAATTGCAATGACTCAACTTCCAGATGACCTCACCTGGGTGACTGAGAATCTTCATAGGTAGATCAGTGAGCCTTGGGCACCCACAAACCTGGCACTGGTCATCTTTCCTTGCACCATTTTTGGTAGGTACTAACCACTACGTACCGCCGTAGATCAGTGAGCTTTGGGCACCCACAAACCTGGCACCGGTCATCTTTCCTTGCACCATTTTTGGTAGGTACTAACCACTACGTACCGGAAACAGCCCACAGGACTTGCCCTTTTGGAAATGCTCTGACCCAGTTGTCTAGCCAGCATTATTTCACCCTTGCCAAAGTCATTCAGATCTTTTTGCTTGCCTGTATTTCCTGCTTCCAACCCATGAAAGTCAGGAACTGACTGTTCACTTGTTGCCTAATACTGTATATCTTACCCCTTGGAAGGTGCCATTGTAACAATGTAATCAAAGCTATTCATTTCACCCATCAGTGGTTTTAACATTGTGGCTGATCAGTGTATTTTCAGTTTGTGAGATACAGTATAGCTTGCACGCTATTCATTTCACCCGTCAGTGGGTTTAACATTGTGGCTGATCAGTGTATTTTCAGCTTGTGAGATACAGTATAGCTTGCATCACTTTTAAGAATTTTTCCTAGTTGCTGGGCCAAAGTATGCCCTTAGAAAGAGCAGGGAAGTCTTCCATTCAGGACCCTTCCTCAGTTGAACAGGAAAAGTATGCTGACATAATCTTTAACAATACAGTGTCAAAACAGAAGCAAAGGCCTAGATGGTTATGTTCCCATATCTATGAAGTACCCTGGGAGCCAATCTTTGTGGAGGAAAACAGAAAGAACCCAGGAAAAGATATGAAACATGCTGAAGCATTTAAAAAAATGGTGAGGCCAACTCAGTGTTTCCTAAACTGGTTCTAGCTAACATCATCCCTTCCTCCAGGGAATTCTTATTTTCTCATCATCATCCAAGGTTTTGGTCCCATTGATTATCTTCTACAGCTATTGAACATGGCTGATGCTAATTGGGCTGCTTGAGGTTTCAAATTCTCGCACTGCTTTTCCCTCCCCATACACATTATGGACATTTCAAAATGGGTACATTTGCAAGATTCCCAACTATATTAATACCTTCTTGCTTCACAGTGACACCCACCATTAAAGAAAAGATCCCCACCTGGCTGGGAATGTATTATTCTTTATTACACATTTAAGAAGGGTTAAAAAAATGACCATGCCTTTCCCACATATATGTCAATGCACATATTGGGTGGAAAGAGGGCAAACATTTGTTCAATAAATTTTACCCCCCTTTTTATATTACTGTACTGATTTCTCTTTGAATGGATATCCCACCAGCAGCAGGTTTCAAGAGATTGGTTTAATAAACCTGAAGCATAAGCCATCTATAAGGGTGCTTTATAAGGGCCAAAAGGTATAAATGTCTTTAAGTACACACATAGGGATATTAAGAGATCTGGAACAATATGAGCATAGTGTAACAACTGGACCACAAACAGGGTTCTTATTTTCTTAAATCAACTAATGTCTAAAAATATGTCTTCAGCTAGTGTCATATATTAGCTAGGCTTTTGCTGGGCGAAAGGACTGGGATATAAATTTGAACCCTGAATGACATTGTGTCTTCCTTTGTAAATCCAGCTTCCCTGTAGATGTCTGAATATCTTAAACACAGTCTTTTCCCTGACATATATTTCTATCTAATTTGTTTAAATGACAATCAGTCTTGGAAGGCAGCATTCTTAAGCAGAGAAGAGTTAAGTGAGCTACCTAGTGCAGTTATTTTTCTTTCAGAGGCACACCTCCCACTTGCTTTTCCTGGAGAAAAGGTTTCAGTTCTCTTAAGACTCCACATTCCATGAATTAATTTGCACAAACAGATGAATAAGGAAAAAGGCAATGCTTACACATAATAATGCTATGCACAAAATGAAAGCACATTTTAAAAAGAGGCAGTGAGTGTACTGTTTGTAACATTTGTGCCTATGAATGTGGGATGTACACTAACAGTGACAAGGAATGACAAGAATTTTCCCTTTGCTCACTGAAACTGGAGGACAAACTGTTCCTTGCAGAATGTTATGCAACCTTTCTGAGCATCATGTCTGTACTGACTGAGATCATTAAGAGCAAATGTCTAAAGTAGAAGTACCATATCTATGACTGAGTTTCAGATTTCCACCGCCAGAATACAGAATAAGACACATTGTGCCTCTGAAGCCCCACATGAAGAACTAAGTTCTTTGACGTTCTAGCATATTTTTAAGGAACTGGAAGCATCTCAGGAAACTGTCAAAAGCAACAGCAGATGATCTGAACTGGACCAATGACCACAACTTTTCACTTTTACTGTATTGAGGAATTTAATGTGCTGTTAAAAAGAAAAATAAAGATCTGTGAACCCTTTAAACCACAACTTTTATTAACTGATAGAAATAGTACAAATTTTAACGCCAGCTGCAATTTGCTCTCCTCTGTAACACCAAAAAGTTCCCCTTTCTGGGTGGCTACATCGTCAATTCCTGGAAAGAAGTAGAAAGAAGCAAATTAGAAACTCTCTTTGTCCACCCCTAGTTGATGGGATGTAGACGTTCATGGGACTTTTTCAGAGCAAAACAGTCTTTGTTTACCTACATTGTACAGCCACATAACCTTGGGGGCCATTATTATGGCTGCCTGTGATTTAGACAAGAGGACAAGGAACACAAACACTGTAAATCTAGTTATGATAAAGTGATCAGATGAGGACAGACAAAGATACAGTGTCTGGTTTCCCCAGCAGTTGCCTAGGATATAACATTGAGCACTGATGCATATATCTGTCCCCAAGGAAACATTCTGGCTATATCTGCACTTAAAGTGCTGGGATGGTTTAATGGAAAGTATTCTCACCATCTCTGAGAACCTTGGGAAGTATAGCTCTGAGACGAGATATAGCCGATTCCAACTGTTAAATACCTATGCAAAGCTAACCTGTAGCACAGGGAAGCCAATTCCCAATGTATGTGTGTCCTTGAACATATGTTGTGTTATACATGACAGCAGTTAGCAGAAGTACTGGGAGCAAGAAAGAACACTCTTTTCAGCAATTTAGTTAAGTGAAATGGTAATTTAAAATGGGCATGCAGACTTTTCCATCTATTCAGCAGACTCAGGATTCTTAACTGTGCAAGCGACAAAAGACGTTCACTGAAGCACTTACCATAATAGCGTTTACAATATCATTACTGTTATTCTTCAGAGCACGGACGGCTTTTGCCCGGGAAACGTTCGCTTGCGACATCACTAACTCAATGTCTTTCACCTCAACACCAGTCTCGTCAACCTACATGGGAAGAAATTGTTTTTCTCTTAGAGAAACCACTGAAGCTTTGCTGTTAAGCAAAAGGACCAAGTGAGGAGTCCTTATTACCTTAAGTATCCCTTCAACCATAAATTTACAATAGCCATAAAGGTTCTCAAGCATGCCAGGAAGGTGATGAAATGAGGATCCAGTTACTACTACTAACTTCTCACTGAGTTTGAAAAATGTGCTAATTTTATTTCAGAATGTCATCTATAAAAATGGAATACAAGTAGGGCTGCATGATATTACTGGGTGGTAGGACAGGGAACCATAAGCTATAGTATTCATAGTAAAAGTGATAAGAACAAAATCAGAACAGGCAATATTTCCTTCAGTGAAATTAAGAACTGCATATAGAGTTAATAATAACAGATCCAAATCCCCCAAACTAAACATTGCACTGCTATGTAATATATAACTTATGACATGAATGCAAGAGAAAGGGGAATGATAAAAGGGCAGGCAAGAGAATGCACTCTTTGTGAGCTCTGTTCAGTTTCTTTTGTCATCAGAGAGGTATTGGTACCTCCATGCCAGGTAATGGCAAAAAAAGGGTTCCCTCTGTAATGAAAAAAGCAAGGTCGCCTACCTTGCCAGCAAAATGCAAACCTGGATTAGTCAGGAAAGACTTTCAACAGCTGCCCACTTATTAGGCAGCTAAATGTGTGACAGTTCATTTCACAAGGGGTGACATTTTCCAAGCCTCGGTACATTTATAGTCACTTGTATTCTGTAAAGGCATACACACACACACACACAAAAAGCACCCACTAAACTAGTGTTATTCTCCCATCTATCAATCTCAGAAACAAAAGAAATCCGCTGGCTCTATTATTTCTTTGTGCAGCATCTGGCATCACTATTCTGGAGGGACCCAAAGAGATTATCTGGGAATGGGTTCAACCTCACCCCAAATTATTGACGCAATAGCAAAATAATACTTCAGGGCTCAATCAGGAAGCTGAGACACTGTTAAGTCTCTGTCTGCAGTTCAATCACAAATGAACCAAGAGTGTTATGCTAAACTTTCAGGAACTAGTGATTCAAACATAGAAGGAAACTAAAATGAAATAAATTACTGCAGGTTGTCCATCACAACTATTGAGAAGAACTAGCACTAGGCTGTACCTCTTGATTCCTGACTGAAGAATAACCAGAGTTATATAGTAACATTTTATTAAACACAAAATCCAGGAAGCCTCAACAGAAGGACTGGCTCTTCCTGGCTTCTAACATGTCCCAGGTACCATGGCAAAATTAATAACTTCAATAGCTATACTCCAACCACAACTCCTAGTTCCAAGTCCTTAACTGAATGAATGCCCAGGCTCACAGATAAGTGACATACCTCCTCCTCTTCACTTTCTTCTTGTACAGTAGGCGTCTGTGTGTTTTCTTGAATGTTTGAAACAGCTTCTCCTTGTACTTTAAATTTCTCTGCAGCAGCCAGCTGTGCTTGCTGTGACAAATCTTCAATCTGTTGAGAAAGGTGAGACAAAAATTAGAAAGAAATCGGTGAGGCCATTGTAATTGTAAAGAAAAGAAAAAAGATGAACAAGGGAAACAGAACTGAGATTTTTCACAAGCACTACTTAAGGAACAACAGGTTTTTTTAGCAGAAAAAAACTGTTTGCTACAATAAAACAGGTTCCAGAGGCTACCCAGTACCACTGGGTTACTACAACACCAAAACCCAAATCTAACTATGCCCAGCCAAACCAAAAACATCCCACTGTGCCCAGTCTGCTCAACCTAGCATTTTTGGGCCCTGCTCACCTTTGCTTCACCAAAGACTATATAAGTATCTGATGCAGGACTTTTATATACATCTGGCTTAGTGATGACAAAGAGGATATTCTTGGACTTCCGGATAGTAACTCTGGTTACACCTGTGACCTGACGAAGGCCAAGCTTGGACATTGCCTTAGAAAACAAAGAGAGAACACAGAGAAAGGGGTTTTACATTACTGAGCATCTGAGGCAGCCTAAGGTGTTTGTAAGTTCCTGTAATACAATTCCTGGTTGTAGAACTTCCAAGGAAGTGCGTATCTTTTTATTCTTCTTGATTAATTCAACAAACAATCAAAAGCTTTTTCCTGAAAGGGAACCAGCATAGAGCCATGGACCTGTTCTTGGTTGTAACACTAACTCTGCATTATGCACTGCAGCACCTTCCCTACATGAAGTCACAACTTCAGAATCAAATCAGAGCTTGCCTCTTCTTCTAAATCCAGCAAAATAAAATTTCTCCCAATAAAGAGCCAATAGGCTCTTTGTAAATTGTTCTATGTTAACATAAGCTGCTCTGCCCTTTTCTTTTTCTTTGTTTTCTTTCCTTTTCTTGGCAAACTGATTTTGTTGATTATCTTGTACCCTGCTACATTTCATGACGTAATGGGCAGGGTAGGGACAAGATCCCAGAGAAATAGGTCAGTTCCTAGCCCACCCTAGGCAACCTTCCTCTTTTGCCTCCTTGTGGGAAATGAGGATGCTGTTTCAGTCATCGCAAGTGGGCAACGATGAACTTCCTTGATGGTTGCAATAAAAATCCCTTTCAAACATGAAAGGAGTGGCATGTCCAAATTATTATGTACATGTGATCTTCTAAAGGGAAAATATCTGACTAGCTATTAGTGCCTCTGAATCAAGCCAAACGCTAGGAATCATATTATGTTATTTTGCTTTGTTTTACCTTCCGTGCTTTCTTTTCACTCCGGCTCTGTTTTGCTTTGCTAACTGGTTCTTCATCTATTTCAGCTGCAGCTGCAAGCTGCCAAAAGAGAAAGAGAAAGTTACAACATGGGATTAAAAGGAAACCTGCGCAGATTTACCTCATGGATGCAACTTATCACTGAATATTCTATCTGGGAGATGTGAACTGCTTCTTCAATGTTTTCAGTGCAGGCCAAAAAAAAAAGTCACTCCCACTTTATAGCATGGCTTCAGTGACAAACTCAGAACACTCAGGTACAGTCATGGCCAAAAATATTGGCACCCTTGCAGTTCTGTCAGAAAATGCGACCCTTCTCTCAGAAAATTGTTGCAGTTGCAAATGTTTTGGTACTCATGTATTCATTTCTTTGGTTTGCATTGGAACAACACAAAACACAGAGAAGTCAAATCTTATACAATCCTACACAGAAACCCAAAAAAGCACTGGCCAAAATTATTGGCAACCTGCCTAAATTGTAAGAAATAATTGCTTTTCAAGCATGTGATGCTCCTTTATTTTGTACTTAGACACACCTGTCACAAATAAGAGGTGTGGCAATATAGTAATCATATTTTCAATCAGCTAAGATGGAGAAAGGTTGACTTAACCTTTTATGTTGTGTGTAACACTGCGCATGGAGAAAAGAATGAAGTGTAAAGAGTTGTCTGTGGATTTGAGAGAAAAATTGTGGAAAAACATCAACAATCTCAAGGTTACAAGTCCATCTCCAGAGATCTTAATATTTCTGTGCCCACTGTGTGCAATATCATCAAGAGGTTTACAGCCCATGGCACTGTAGCTAACCTCCCTGGACATGGATGGAAGAGCAAAATTACAATGAAAGGTTGTTTGAATAGTGGATACAGAATCCAGATGAACTTCCAAACAAATTCAAGCTGATGCGCACACACAGGGTACACGAGTGTCAGCTCGCACTATTCGTCAACATCTGAATGAAAAGGGTAGGAGACCCAGGAGGACACCACTGCTGACACAAAGGCATGAAAAAGCAAGACTGGAGTATGCCAAAACTTAAATGACAAAACCACAATCCTTCTGGCAGAACGTACTGTGGACAGATGAGACAAAAGTAGAGCTTTTTGGTCAAGGACATCATGACACTGTTTAAAGAAAAAGAAATGAAGCATTCAAAGAAAAGAACACAGTCCCTACAGTCAAACGTGGTGGAGGTTCAAAGATGTTTTGGGGTTGCTTTGCTGCTTCTGGCGCTGGATGCCTTGACTGTGTGAATGGTATCATGAAATCTGATGATTACCAAAGAATTTTGGGATGCAATACAGTGGTCAGTGTCAGAAAGCTGCATCTCCATCAGAGGTCATGGGTCTTTCAGCAGGACAATGACCCGAAACACACTTCAAAAAGCACTCAGAAATGGTTACAAACAAAGCGTTGGAGAGTTCTGAAATGGCCAGCAATGAGTCCATATCTGAATCCCATAGAACACCTGTGGCAAGATCTCAGAACAGCAGTTGGGAGAAGGCATCCTCCAAATCTGAAGGCCCTGGAGCAGTTTCCAAAAGAAGAGTGGTTCAAAATCCCAGTAGAGAGGTGTAAGAAACTTTCATGGTTACAGGAAGCGATTGATTTCAGTTATCTTTTTTCCAAAGGACGTGCTACCAAATATAAAGTAAAGGGTGCCAATAATTTTGGCCAGTGCATTTTTGGGTTTCTATGTGGGATTGTATCACATTTGACTTTTCTTCTCTGTTTTTTGTGTTGTTGCAACACAAACCAAAGAAATGAACATGTGAGTATCAAAACATTTGCAACTGCAACAATTTTCTGAGAGAAGGGTTGCATTTTCTGACAAGATTGCAAGGGTGCTAATATTTTTGGCCATGACTATATACTGACTTTACCCTTTCAGGACTACAAAGGAATATAGAGAAGTATTCTAAATGGATGCTTTGTGACTAATATTCCTTCCCATGAAAACTTATCAAACTTGATTGGGTTCCAGAAGCAAAACATATGTCTACTGAGATTTCTGTAGAAGGGGTCAGGGACAGGATAACTAACATGCAACCACTGCAGGACATTATCCTTATTAGGATATAAAATATCACAAAGTACTGACCAAGCATTCATAACTCTTCTTCAGGCTGAACAGTAAGCAAAACAAAGGGGCAGAAATAGCTAAGACAAAACAGTGATGTGAGGAACAATTTCACAGCAACTGTTGTTCTTCCAGAGAACTTGCCACTATAGTTTCTTTGCCTATGATCCTTGAAATGGTCCAAGAATGTGCTATTCAATCCAGGCCTTGCAATCTATCATAGACTGTCATGAATGATCAACCATTGAAATCTGTCCATCATGTTAAGTTTGACCCTGTTTTATTACCTTATATAAAATCCAGACTGAATAGATTATCCGTCAGCTGCAAAAGTGTAAATTGCAACTATTTTTATAGATTAAATTTACATAATTTGCTTCTCTGTGAGTTTAAACATGCCTTTTTTTAGCTCAAACACATCAAATAGGAAATTATGTTAACTGCTATGTTAACATCAATTCTATACAGCAGCATGGATATAAAACCATTCCAAACCACAAATCTGATTAGAGAATTTCTGGCCATGGATACATTTGCTCCAAAATCACAACGTTCCATGGCACTACAAAGAATGTGCATTAAATACATTGCCCTGATCATTTGAGGCTTTCCTTAACTTCTCACCTGTGCCTGCTGTGTTGTGGCCTGTGTGGAGTCTTGTTCTTCAAGTTCTGGCACCGATTCATCGCTGTCTGATTCTGTTCCAGACCCTACAGAAACAAACATGCATAATTTTTTTCCAGATTGGTCTTGGCTGGGAGTGGCAGGCAGGCCCAGGCAACACAGGAAGGTTTTTTGCTGTTTGGTCACGCAGAACCTTTCACTCTTTTAATGCGCCAATGCATACTAAAAGCTCACCACTGAGCCAACAAACTTCAGAATTAGCTGGGGTACAGGATACTATTCCTAGACAGGTAACAAAACAGTGGAAACGTACATGGAAAGACTGCAATTTGCAGACAACAAGCATACACAGAATACTGAAAAGGCAGTGCTTTGTTTCATAATGGCTTCAAACTGAGCAGTCATGCAGAGGTGGTAATGGTAAAATATGTTCTTTAGTTTTGTTCAGTCTGGGCTAAAAGACTGTGTAGAATACCAATCCACCCAAACCAAACTGGTATTTCTTATGGATCTTAAAACTGAAAAGCACTGACTTAAAATTATCACTGGACCTGTATAGGGCGATGAGGAGAATTTCAAAGAGCTGCCTTTGTGCCAGATAAAATTTTGGGAAGGTGCAGATACTCTAGACCAGTAGTCCCCAACCTTTGGCCTCCAGATGTTCTTAGACTACAACTCCCAGAAGCCTTCACCACTACCTATGATGGCCAGGATTTCTGGGAGTCCAAGAATATCTGGAGGCCTGAGGTTGGGGACCACTGCTCTAGACAGATAATATAGCAATGTCATTGAGCTCTTAAAGGCAGAGCACAACAATATTATGGGAAAAAGACTCTACGAGCATAAATGTCCTTGTGTTGTCAGGATTAAGGAGTCACCTCTTCTTTAAACAGAAGTGTAAGTAGTAAGAAAGTGGAAAGTTGAGCTTTAGTTCAATTCAGACCACAATCTGAAGAGCAGAAACATGCCGCAGACTTGCCCACTCCTTCTCCATCACCTGCAGTTTCCTACTATTCTTTCACAGTTTGTGATAACCACACTTTGCCAAGTTGTAAAAAATTTACAACTGAATGTTGCTGATTCACCACCTTTTTTTCAACGTAACAAAAATCATAATAGGCTTTGCAACCTCCAGTTCCACATGCTTCCACCCATCACTGTCTCATGTAATATGCTTCCCATGACTATTACATGTATGCATTCACTGTCTGCAGCATATGTCCTTCCACATTTCTGTGGGCTTCTGGCTCAAGGACCTATTTAGTGCGGCAGGCAATGGGGAGGGCTCTGATGCAAGCCAGAGAGAACCAAATGACTACAGGAGACTACACACCAGAATATACTTTATCCACACTCTTCCTGCAACAAGAATGATAAACCCCTCTCGTCTGTCAACATTCACAAACAAATCTCAACATATTCTCCCATGGCAGTATAATTATCAAAGAAAACTGTAGGGACTGGTAGTTACACAGAACTACAAAACCACAGCTACACAGAGAACCATGTCTGATCTTTGGCATATGCCTGAATTTAACACATAAATACAGAAACAGTTTAACAGGTATTTAACAGAAAATCTACTTATGACATTTAAAGAAAGAAAAATATTCCATGTTCCAAGTGCAGACTGAAATATAGACAATGCAAAGTGAGAGGGGGATAGGATATTAAGATTAGAGTGCAGTGTCTCCTTCCAGTGCCATTGTTTCAGATAAAACTTTACATCATAACATGGAGTTGGCAACACATGCTAAACCTATGAACATGTCACTCAAGGCAGCTGTTATTATGAAGCTCAATTACAAGCAAATAACTAGGATTGGCGAGAGAGCAAGTGCTACGCAAACCAAGCTGTGATTAGAGTTTCTAGGTTAGTGCTGTTCTAGAAATACCAGTCTAGGTAAGGCTTACATCACACCATCTGTAAGACATCCACAGCATGCTTAGTGTGAGACAGACGCTAATTTGTGGCATACATTCTTATGTGTAGGTCTTGAGTCTACACAAAAGAGCCTTCAACTAGCTTTGACTGCAACTGATTACAGCTCAGTCTAGGCGTAGTATTGGCTTTCTTCAAATCATTCCTAGATGCTACTTTTCTGGGCTAGCAAAGGGCCAACAATGCCCTACAGAGAGGTTAGTATTCAGTGAGCTGGTGATATCCATGCACACAGCAAACGGAGGAGGCAAATACCCTTGTCATTCTTCAGGACAGGCTGTTTGGCAGGAGGAGGAGGAGGAAGAAGAAGAGGAGAAGTTGCTGGGACCTCAGCCAGAGCCACCGCTGGTTTAGGAGAGAAATCCACCAGGACTGGCTGCAGAGGTGGCTCCCCAGCAGGCACCTCTGGAGGGATCAAAGGTGGTAGCTCGTCGTCTTCAAAGACAGTGGAGAAGGGGATGGGGGGTTGGGAGGGTACTTCTGATGGTACATCAGATGAAGATGAAACAGGCAATGACTTAGGAGGCACAGAGGAGGGAGTTAGTTTTTTCACAGGGGATGCAGGAGGCAGCGCAGCAGAAGCAGGTTGAGTGAGTGTGCCTGTAACTGGGCCAGAAAGAGAGAGATCAGCAGAGGCCAGATGTTTTTGTGGAGTTACTATCTCTCCAGCAGGGGTGGCAGAAACCTGGGACACTCCCAGGGCTAAGGGAGCAGAGTCACCAAGGGCAAGTGATGATTTGGGAGCAGAGACTGGGCTGGGAGCCACTGAAGTAGCAGGAGATGGTGCTACGGAGGACACAGGAGAAGCTGACGGAGAGGTGACAGAGGGAGTGCCAGAAGAAGGGGTGACAGATGATACCAGAGAAGCTACTGGGCCAGAAGCAGAAGCCACTAGAGGCTTAGAAAGAGAAGCAGCAGGGGTCACCGAAGCAGAGACAGCAAGGGGTACAGTGGCAGGCACAGAAGAGAGCACAGGCTGAACAGGTGTCAAAGGATTTGAAGCAGGGGGTGCTGGGACCATAGGAGAAGTTACAAGGCCAGGGGAATGAGCCATAGGACTAGAAGCAAGGCTTGTTGGGCCCACCGGTGGTGCTAGAGGCCCTGAAGGAGGTGCCGAAGGAGGTGTCACAGTCTGAGATGCTACAGGGCCAGAAATTGGTACTGAAGGAGAAGCAGGCTTCTCAGGTGGTGCTGTGGGTGCCACTGACCCAAAAGTAATTCCTTCTGGAGCCACAGGAAGATTTGCAGATGGCTGCACTAGGGTAGTTACAAGACTAGAACCAGGCTCCACTAGGGACACCTGGTCAGAAGGAGATGCCACAGGAGAAGCAGGTTTCGTGGGTGGTGTGGCAAGTGCCTGTCCTGCTGGGTCCTGAGGAATAGCTGCTGCTGGGAGAGGCCCTGGAGGACTAACTAAAGGAAGAGAAGCTGTGGAGGAGGCAGGAGATGTCACAGGGGGCACTCCTGGTGCCACTGGCTTAGCTGCAGGCACTGCTGGGGCTACAGAAGGGGCTACAGTGCTAGTGGCAGGAACGAAAGGTTGGGCACCATGTGTCACAGAACTAGAAGCATGTTCTGCTGGGGCTGCAGAAGCATGTATAGGCCCTGAAGGAGAAACAGGTGTCACTGCTGGTGCCAGTGGTGTTGGAGGAGACCCTACCAGAGTTACTGGCACAGGGCCAGAAATAGGTGGCAAAAGAGGCCCTGGTGAGGGCTCAGGGCCAGATGCAGCTGCTGAAGGGGTGGGTTTTATAGGAAGCCCTCCAGCTGCCAATGGTTGAGGAGCTGGTAGTTCTTGGGCCACATCCCCAGAAATGGGGGCCAAAGCAGGAGTCACAGACTTTGAAACAGGTGCCACAAGATTAAGAACTGGGGCTACTGGAGGAGTTACAGGACCAGAAACAGATTTTGAAGGTGGCCCTGCAGGGGCAGCCCTTGCTTGGGCTAGAGAGCCAGAGGTAGCCTCTGAAGGGCAAGCTACATTACCAGCAGGCCCTGCAGCTACCTCTGGCTTAGAATCAGGCCTTGCTGGGGTCACAGAGCCAGTGGCAGGCTTTGCTTCTCTAGATGCCACCAAACCAGAAATCATGCCTTTTTCGCCCACAGGAAGAGCTCCAGGGCCAGAAACAGAGTCTGAAGGGGAAGGGGGCTTTGTAGGGAGTCCTGCCCCTGCCAAAGGTGTAGGGGCAGGCCCTGCAGCAGCTGCAGGATTAGAAACAAGCCCTGCTGGGACAAGAGGAGGAATAACAGGGCAAGAAGCCGGTTTTACAGGTGGCTCAGGAGGTGCCACAGGAGCCGAAGAGGGGCTTGGCTGAGCCAGAGGAGGAGGTGCAGGGCCAGAAACAGGTAAGACTGGTGTTAGACTAGGTATTGCAGGGGTCACAGATGGTGGCACAGGCCCAGAAGTAGGTTTTATAGGTGGCCCAGCAGGAGCCATAGGACCAGAAGTGGGCCTTGCTTGAGCCAGAGGAGGAGCTACAAGACTAGAAGCAGGCACTGGAAGGGCTATGGGAACAGGCCCCGCGCAGGCCACTGGAGGAGTTGTAAGTCCAGAAGTAGATTTTACAGGCAGCTCAGGAGGCACCACAGGAGCAGAAGAGAGGCTTGCTTGAACCAGAGGAGGAGCTGCAGGGCTAGAAACAGGTGGCACCGGTGCTGAAGCAAGTACGGAAGGGCATATAGGACCAGCAGCAGGTCCTGCAGGGGTCAGAGAAGGTGATGTGGGCCCAGAAATGGCCACAGGCTTTGCCTGAGTCAGACCTATAGGAGTAGACTCATACTCTGCAGGCCCCGAAGCAGGTTTTACAGGTGGCTCAGCAGGTGCCACGGAAGGAGAACCAATGGTTGTTGGGGCCAGAGGAGGCATTACAAGACCAGAAGGCGATCCAGTAGGGGCCATGAGACTAGACGCAGACCCTGTGGGGGCCAGAGGAGGGCCAGGAACAAGTTTTGGAGATAGCCCAGCAGGTACCAGTGGGGTTCCAGATGGCCCTACTGAGGCCCTAGGGCCAAAAGCAGACTTCACAGAAGGTCCTGAAGGTATGAATGCTCTAGGAGCAGGGAGTGATGGAGACCGAGAAGCCCCAGGAAGGCCGGCAGATGCTACAGAGGAATATGTGGGTACTGTAGGTCTAGAAATAGATGCCAAAGGAGGAGTCATGGGCTGGCAAGTAGAGCTCAGAGGGGCAATGGGATTAGATGCAAGCACTGGAAAGGCCATAGGGCTGAGAGGAGATACCGGCTGCACCACATCATGAGGTTTAGCAATGTGGGGAGAGGACACAGAAGGTGAAATGGGAGCCCCTAGGCCAGGAGGAGCAGGGAGTGAAGAAGGGGCTGTAGGGGTAGGAAAAGGAGGCGGTGGGGATGGGCAGGGAGCAAATGCACACACTGAAGGAACAGGGGAGGAAACAGATGATGGGGCCACAGGAGCAGAAACTGGAAGATGGGAGCTGGGAGGGACTGTGGGGCTGATGGGAAGGTCAACAGAAGTAGAAATGGGGCTTGAAGCAACAGGAGGAACAGTGGGAGTTGGAGTCAAAGAAGGAGAAACAGGAGCTACAGGGAGAATGAAAGGAGCTGGGGCTGGGGGTGGGATCTGAGAAACTGAGACTGAAGGAACAGCGGGCATTGTTGTGACAGGGGAAGACAGAGAAGGGGCACAGAGAGACTCAGGGGAAAATACTGGGGCTGGAGGAGGTATGCTTGGAGATGAGGGACTAGCTATTTGTGCAGAAGCAGCCAAATTTGAGGGTTTCAAGGGAGGAGGAGGAGTCTGAACTGCCCCAGCTGGAAAAGCAGAAGGCAAGACAGCACTCGTAATATTCCCAACAGGCATTGAGGGAACAGACGGGGCAGCCAGGAGGGAGAAAGGCTGGCCAGAAGGTGCTGTGAAGCCAGCAGGTGCCGGTGGAGTACTGAAAGGGCCAAGTCCAGCAGGAGGGCAGTTAGCATCATGGGATGAAGAGGAAGGATGAGCAGCTCTAGAAACAGAAGAGCTTGAAACAGCAGCTAAAGGAGAGAAAAAAAGTGAATCAATGATGAATGGAAAACCATGAGAAGGAAAAAAACGGTTATCTAAAACCTCTCACACAGAAATTGTGCTCAATTACCTGTGGGACGGAAATTACTGCAGTTGCTTCCAGAAAATAGATTATTTATATTCCCCCATCCCCTCATCAGTCATGTCTCTGCAGCAGCAGTTCTTCAGACTGAGCTGATATTGCACTACAAGAATGGATGTGGTCCTCAGGGGGCCAAATGCAGCCCCTCAGCACACATCCCCAACATTTTGAAAGAAAATTTAAAGAAAAATGGTTTCAAATAATTCCCTTGTGCCTTCGGAGAAGCTTAGAGGCAAATGTTTTAAGGGAACTTGTCCATGCCCAGGGTCACCCACCACTAACTTTTTAAAAATTGCCATTAGAAGACACACAATATATTTTCAGTTTGAGAATCCATATTTCTAAGAAAATATTTTGAGGGGTAACTGGTGTGGGAGTAGATCTCCAAGGCCCAGTATTGGGCATTTATGGTCCCCAGATCTCTAGACAGTGAAATATCTGCAACCAGGTGCCTAAGTCACAGAGTTATCCAACAGGTGCAATTACTTTTGTTGTATAAGTTTCATTTATAAAGACAAAGGTTGTTATACCAGCTGGATATATTTGGCTACAGAAACAAATTTTGCGAACAAGAATTGTGACCCATCTTATATTTCAATGTGTCCATCCCACATTCCAAGTATGAGCAGGTGTAACTAGAAACAGATTTGCAAGTAATTCAAACTATAAATTTCCAAGATAAAGCCACTGGATTTCATGCAAACTCTTCACGGGAACAACAGAATGACATTCTCTGCAGGTCACAGACACTTGGGAGGACCATCCCAGGAGACACAAGTTGTCACTGGCCTTTTAAATACAATGCAAGGTATTCCAGAACTAATTCTACACCACATTGTACACTATTGGTGTGCCTGCCAACAGATTACTATCTGCACCGTAAAACCAAGCTGTCAATTCTGATAATCTAGATCAAGGGGAGGGTTGTGGTGGCGCTGCGGGTTAAACCGCAGAAGCCTCCGTGCTGCAAGGTCAGAAGACCAGCCATCGTAAGATTGAATCCACGTGATTGAGTGAGCTCCCGTGGCTTGTCCCAGCTCCTGCCAACCTAGCAGTTCAAAAGCATGTAAATGCGAGTAGATAAATAGCTACCACCTCAGTGGGAAGGTAACAGCATTCAGTGTCTGGTCGCGCTGGCCACGTGACCATGGAAACTGTCTACGGACAAACACTAGCTCTATGGCTTGGAGAAAGGGATAAGCACTGCGCCCTAGAGTCAGACACAACTGGACTAAATGTCAAGGGGAACCTTTACCTAGATCAAAGGGAGACAACCTACTCTCTGTTGTCATTCCACTGAGAAACAGAGCAGACAAAATGTGACATTTGGACTGCTGACTCCTGTCCCCCCCCCATCATCATTTTGCAAAGAAGGCAAATCATGTCCCCAGAAGGCTTGGAGAACATGATTTGCCATTTAAAGGTTATACCATTCCCATAAAAAAGGAAAGAAAGAAAAAGACATGAAAAGGACTTTAAGATCTCATTCTGTTTCTTTAAAAAGACAAAAGATTCTTTCATACCTGAAAGGGAAAGGGGAGATTGCCTTAAAATGACAAATTACACCCCAAGGTTTCTATATGCCTCCTCCTTCATTTTTAAGTCATTTCTTTAACTGTTGGGGCGAATGAAGGGCTGAAATGACCTGAAGACCCTTAGGTATTGCTCACTCCAATACAGAGAGGATCAGGTTATCTACCTAATGTCTAGACCCATCCATAATTTACTTCCCCAGATAAGTCACAAACTCAGTCTAGTCCACAGGGAAGTTTTTATTCTATAAATTTATCTCATTGAGACAAGAAAAAAAATTTAACAGCTGAACCAGATTGCAAAATGGTATGGCTAATTTAACTACACTAATACAGCACAGCAAACGTCTATTAAGGAGTCACACACTGGGATTTAGAACAAATACCTGGTGCTTGAATGGGAGGCTCAGGAAAGCAAGCTGCAGGCGCTTCGGGAACGCCAGCAAAGGGGGGAGGAATGACAGGAGCTAAATAAGTAAGAACAACAGGATATTACAGAGTTAACCGATACATGAGGGGCAAGAACAGTTTAAAAGGATCTGTATTTTTGGCTTTGTTTGAAAGTTCTTTGCATTCCCCTGATGCAAAGAGCCTTCTATGCAGAACTACACTGCTTGCTTCCACTTCAGATTTGCCAGGATTCAAACTCAGAAAAGAGCTAAAATAAGTTTGCTTTAAATAAGTCACTATGGACAGCAAACACTGCTCATTACATCAAACACTGGTGTGCAGCTCGGGAAGCAGACATTCATATTTATAGAATCACTCACTTCAAGAATCATTTTATCTGAATCTTGAAAAGCAGCTTTTAAACTTTACAAACTACACATGTAAAGTGAGAGTAAATAACTGCACTAGGCAACATTGCAAGTCTGCTGTGAAGAGTGTGAATGGCTTTTATATGAAACTAATGACCCAGTGAGACCTCAAATGAAGAGACTGTTATATAGATGTCTGATTGTGAGACAAAAATGAACCTATCATATGTTATTCACACAACATGGAATCTTTAAATCTTATTTAAATATGAAAATAAGTGGTATGTTTCACTAGGATCAGGTAGGATTAAAAAAGGAAAACTCTTTTCTAATACAAATTTTACAATGTACAATAACTTGATAAACAATTTTGAGGGGATTCAGGATCTGTCACAGCTATTTTCATTTAACTTATATGAGAAGTGAGGGCAAAACTTTTGCTAGTGTGGGAAATGCCCCTAATCATGAGAGCTGTTGCTTCATAGCACGACTGAAATGACATCAGAATTCAATACACAGGAGCAGAGTGAGGTAAATGCCAGATTTAGCAACTGCTCTGGCTGAACAAATCTTATTTGTCCTATGGCAAAAGAAGAGCTGCAATCCATGAAAATCACACTAATAATTCCATTTTACAAATGTGTGTCTCTTTACAGCATGTGCCTGAAGCTCTGCCTCAGTTCTAAGCTTTCCAAGAACAACCTTGAAAACCTGGACAGAGATTTAATCTCCATGTTGTCATAGTGGGCTTTTATGAATGAAATGACTAGCCCCTGCAGATTCTGGTTCCTATTTCCATCAAAATGTTGAAAGCTAGGCAGTCAAAGAACCACCACACACATTTGTTTGTACTGGCCACCAAACAGCCCACTGAATGACTGATGCAAATCATGTAAGGAGGCAGTCATAATTATTCTGTACCTATTCTTGGGCAGGAACTGGAAATGCAGGCAGAAGTTGGAAAGCAAAGAAACAAACTGCATAGCTTAAAATATTTAATACAAGAAAAAGGTATAAGCAGAAAGTGACAGGCTCCATACTAAGGAAGAAGCAGAATATCTCAAAATTACATTATGAAGCTTTGCCTTTTGTGGGAGCAAATCTTAAAAAGGACTCCTTGTACCATGGGATCACAGCCACTCTATTAAATGATTATTTGGAAGGATTATTTTTAACTTTTTTGGCTGCTTTCCCCCCTTAATTAATTTGAAACATCTGGAGGTAGGTAAGGTGGAAAAAGAAAGGGCATAACAAATGTGTGACAAGCTCTTCTACACATTACATATCACAAGAAGCACATCCAAGAACTTTTCACACAAACAGCTTTTTACTTTGGGATACAACTTATAAAGCTGGAATTTTGGGAGTTGTGCACAGGTATACTGATTCTTATTTCATTTTTTAAAATATTCTTTTAGTTCCATCCTCCTACCTGAAGGCTCTAGAGTAGTCTCAGCCTGAGTACCCTTGCCTGCCACCTCAGGATTCTTGGTGGCAACTGGGCTGGACGCTTCAGTTGTCAGCATCGCTTCCAGGGGGCCCCCAGGAACGTGAGTTACTGCAATAGTGTCAATTGTTCAGATACAACTTAAGAAACCCGACAACGGTCACACATGCCTCATGGCGTAGTTAGCCATCCAAGAGTGAAAGTATCCAAAAGGAACAGTGGGGGAACGTGCCAGTTATCTTTGGTAGCCCAGAGACAAACTGCGTTAGAGCTCCTAAAACAAACCTTTATGTGTGAAGCATTTTAAAGACCATCTTCTACTTTAGAGAGAAATTTGACAAAATGTCTAGGAAATTATGACATTGCTCCAATAGACTGAACCGCCTTAGGGCTGGCTCTATTGGCTCCTACAGATTGCAGCACCCATGGCAATGTGGCCACATACATGTTGTTGTCAGTTTGAATTTAGCTGACCTCTGCTTTTGAAGGCTGGCACTGATCACTCAAAGGGCAGTTTGGGCTGAGTTAATTTTGTAGCAGTAGACATACACATAAAGGGGTAACTAAACAGTGTAGCTGTCATGAGCAATAGTGAATCATCTTCAGAGCTCATATCTGTAGTTACTACTGCCCAGGAATTGGCAGAACACAATTCCTATGTACTGGATTCTAATAAAAAAAGACTGGACAGATGCCATGATTTTGAAATTGGTTGTATAAATTCTATTCTATCTCCTGATATTTTACCTGTTTCTGGTACTTTCATGCTCCCTTATTGCTAATGTCCTCTATCTTGCTTCCAGATTCGCAATGAGTACAGTACCTCCAGCATGAGGTGATTTTTGGGTGTCCTTTAATCAAAGCAGCAAGGCTAGATCAAAGCAATGTAAAACCTGTTTTCCATGCCAGGTTTCCTAATAACCTTCCCATATTAACTCCAATCATTCTTGTGTGTCACACACATTACCAAGCACTACACTAGCATCTGCAGCCATCTCTTCTCCTTAAAGGAGTGTTGAGACATTGCCTCAGTATAAACCATCTGAGCAGAATATAATCAATGTGGACTTTGCTTAGATTTACACTCTCAGTAGGTCTAATTACTGCTCGCTACAGAGGAATATCACTCAAAAGAGCACCATCTGATCACCCAACATAACTTTCCCCTCTGTCTCCAAATCAAACTCATACACACCCTGGACAGAAATCATTGCATTTACCAGTCATGCAGTGCACAACATCCCCATGCGTAGTTATATGTAGGAGTGGACCCAGTCAAAGAGTCATGCAGTGTCCCCTAAGCTTCCAAGCAGAAATGTGGAAGGCAATGAAACCTGGCCTTCAGCTAACCAGCATCCATGATACCTTCAAGACAGACAAGTGGAAACATAACGTATGTGAGGGTTGAGAGTTAGTAAATCTCAAGTTAAAAATGAAGACAAATATCCACAAGTACCTGCCACCCCCACTTCAAAATATAACCAGATTTTTCAAAGCAGTATCAACTCCTTGCTCTTTCTACTAGAATGAGGCACTCTTGCTACCAGCACAATTATCAATTGTGTTTTATAACCCAGGTGCAAGATGCTTGATCAATTCTGAACTGGATTGTAACTTTTTGGCTTACAGATGCAACTTGCTTCATTGGTCTGCACTTAATTTAAACAGCATTACAAAGTGAATGAGCAATCCATGAAACCTAACCAGTTTAGCAGTTTTAAAGAAAGTTCTGGGTCTGAGATCTGACTGTTTGCATATCATTTTTCTTCAAGTTTTACAATCACGCTATTGTATGTTAAACAAGTCACCACCAATTTACAAGAAGAAACTCAAAAGCCGCAAAATTATTATGGACTGAACATGTATCAACATCCTATTCCTGACTGTTAAATAGGTTCAGGAATATTATGTAGCTGTGCCCTTTAATTCTCAAACCATCTTTCTCCTCCTTCCTAAAGAAAGTTGATACACGTGGAATAGTTGGGAAGACTATCTAGAGATGGTATTTTAAAACAAGCAAGGCTTACCTTTAGGTGCATTTTTGCACTTTTTAAAATTTGCAAACATACAAACAAAATTAAGTTTGCCTGAATGAATATGGTGGCTATAAAGAAACAAGAGTGTGACAACACACATTATACAGTAATATATAACAATTTACTGTTTTTATTTGGGGTTCAGATATAAGAAATAAAGAACAGCCATAAAAATGTCACTATCTCTTGTATACTGCAAAAAGGCCACACAAGAAAGAACAAATGCCAAAACCAGCGAGCAGGCACCTAATATTTGGCTCAGATTACAGCAATAAAGAACTTTTAAAAAAAATTCATCTAGTGATTACACCATGTTAGTACACATACACAAATCAGAAACTCAGTCATTAATATTAGTACAGCATCATACTCTAGAACCTGCAGAACCAAGGTGGACAGCAGTGTTCATCTATTCAAGATTCTTTTTACACATGCTACTACCATGCCAGACAGAACCTGCAACTCATCAAACTGGAAAGAGATTAACTTTAGTAAAAACATAGAACAATTTAAGTCAAAATGCTTTTTTTCCACTTTTCAAAGTCAAAATAAACATATGTAAAATTTCTTACTCAAAGTGTTTCCCACCCATTGCTTCAGCAACCCTCACAAGAATACTGTGAAATAGATCTGTATTATTCTGAGTTTTGTGCCTCAAATGAGATGAGAGATAGCATCTTCTTTAAGTCACTGTTGTAGTTAATTTATGGCAAATGCAAGATACAAACCAGGGGCCTCTGACATTTGCAACCCTATACACATCCGCTGAGAAGAAAGCTCCACTGAGTTTAATAGGACTTTCAAGTCAGTTTGCAAAGGATTGCAGCCTTAGTCCTCCAGCCACTATGCTGTACTACTCTTTAATTATCTGCTTGTTCCACCTCTCCCAGTAGACTTGTTTGCTCAGCTAAATTACCGCCTAGATGAGTTCCAGGATCCTTTTAAAAAGTGCATTAGTCATGCATGACACTAACCTGTCTCAGCCTGAGGCTGTGGCAGTTCCTGTTCTGTTGCTGGGACAGTTTCTGTGGCTTCACCAGGCATTTCTGGAACAGAAATAAAGAAAAACTCACTTATGTTTTTGGCACTTTTCATAAATCTTGCTCCTCCACAATCAAAATAACCAGACAAACTACATATACCTGAAACTCAGAGAACGAACATCACCTCTAGATACAACCTGTCACAGCAGTACTCCTAAAAATGTTTACATCTATTTAAGCTTGAAGTTCCAAAGTGTTCAAACCATTTTGTCTGTCCATTGTAAACTTTGGCTCTGCCCCTCTGAGAAACGGATGGGGTCCCCTCTGCTAAACAATCAACCCAAAGTAGCGGCTCTCGCCCAGGGTGCCAAGGCGGGGTGAGCAGGAGACCCTCTTCGCCGGCGACCCTGCTGCCGCTGCCCCTTAAAACCCGAAGGGTACAGCCTGACCCTAACGGGGACGTCCTTCCATTCGCAAAGAGGGCGCCCCGCCGAACGAAGGCGCTCCAGTTAGGCAACAGCAGCGGAGGAACCACGGCTTCGCGCCGCCCCCCTCCACCCCCACTTGCCTCTTCCCATTCTCCCGCGTTAAGCATGTGCGAAGACCGGCTTGGCCCCCCAGTCCTCGGAGGTCCTCATTAGGCAACAGCAGCGGAGGAACCAGGGCTTCGCGCCGCCCCCCTCCGCCCCCACTTGCCTCTTCCCATTCTTAAGCATGTGCGAAGACCCGCTTGGCCCCCCAGTCCTCGGAGGTCCTCACAATCCCGATTCCTGCCTGCCCCCGTTCCCAAGGCCCTGAGAAAAGGCCCTACGACTCGGGCCAAAGGGGACCCGAGCGAGGCCGCCGCTGGGTTTCCGGAGGCCCAGCCCGGACGGCAGCCAACGACACCTCCCTCTTCGCCGTCCAGGCCTCCCTCATCTTCGGACGATCCCCGCCCTCCCGGGCGAAGCGCTCCCAGAGACAGATGGCGGCGGATAGAAACCAAGACACTTACTGTCCACGGCGAGCAGGTCGCAAGATGGCTGCAGAAAGAGAGCGAGAGGCGGGGGAGAAAGGCAACTTCCGGGCTGAGGGAGAACAGCTTCCGGGTCCCTCCGGGGGGGGCCTTGGCGCGTCAGCCCGCTGCGCCTCCTTCCTCTTGGGCGTCGCGTTCGGCGAGGCGGCCCTCGGTGTTTCAGGGCGAGGGCGGGAGAGGGGGAAGAACCTCCGCGACGCCCAGAGGGCCGCCTCCTGTGGGCCCGGTGCCGCGGGGGAGCCGGGGAGAGGGAGCCGGTTGGGTAGTAAGTGCAGAGAATGAATGCCAGGGCTTGCCAGGAGTGTCGCGAACCGGAGCACAAGGGCTTGCCGAAGCCTCGAGGCGCCTGTCGCCCGAGCACAACCGGCGGAACTCAGGGGGGGCTTCCGTCGGAGTGGAGGGCGTGGATACGATTGCGTTGGGACAGCTCCGTGGTGTCTCAGAGGGCTTACGTTGCGAGCCGATGTTGTCTTATGAGATTGCGTTGTTGTGACGGCTTCATTGTGTTCAAGTGGTGGTGTCCTAGTGACTAGAGGAGAGCTAGGGGACTCCCCAGATGCTGTGAGAGAGCGCGAGAAGAGCCGTGCTGGATCAGACCTAAAAGTGATCAAGTCCAGTGATTCCCCATCCTTAGGTTCCCAGATGTTCTTGGATTGCAACTCTCAGAAATAATGGCCAGCAGAGCAAATGGAGAAGGCTTCTGGGAATTGCATCCCAAGAATATCTGGAGACTCCAGTTTGAGAACCACTGAGTCCAACATACTGTACATGCAGAGGTAAACTACACGCTTTTGAAAGCCTACAAATAGAACCAGAGGTCAATGGCACCGTTTTGTTGACGTTGGCCTGCAACCGTATGTTGCTTTGTCTTCTTTTAATTCTTAATGAGGCTGGACGTCATGCCTCTTTTGAATTTGAATGTTGCTGTTTGATGCAATTGGCTGGCTAAAGAACCTATCTAAGGTTCTTTAGCCAACATATTCTTCTTGCACTCCTTTTCCCGTATACTGTACAATGCATGTTCTCCAAACAAAGTGTTAGCTTGGTTGCATATTATATTCTTAAGCAAGCTGCTCCAAGCCATCTCTATTATGACATTTATTGTGTGGCTATAATCCTGCTGTGTGTTGAGCTAAATTCAAGGTACTGTACATACGGTAAATTTGTCAACTTACTCTTTTGTTTTGGATCATAGACTGCTGTTGCAGTACTGTACTTGCTTTTTACTGATTACCATTAAATTGGTTAACAGTCATTTTTAGACAATGTTATTTATTTCATTGGTTTTATTACATAACCTTTGTAGACTGTCTAAATTGTCAGCTAGTAATACTGATTCATGCCATGTCAGATGATACTGATAACCTCTCCCTTCACAATCATGCTTTCTTTTGAATCAACCAGTCTTTAAAGATGTTGTCAAGAATACAGAGAAGTACGTAGTGATGACAGTAGTTCTTATGTCATCTGATCTTCAACATTCAGTACAAATTTATCCTTAATAAAGACCAATAATGTTTACCAGTAATTTTTACCAATAAGTCCATCTCTTTATCAAATATTTTCTTATCCACAAGAAAGCTTACATATCAATGTTCCTGTACCTTATTCTCCATATAAGCATATGCAGAATAGTGCTTCTCTGTCTCCAAGTCCTCCTTTGAATGCAAATTGTGTTCTCATAGTGCATCTCCTGCCATTGTTTCACACATCTTGTAAATTCTGCCATGTTTCATTTTTTAAAAATACCTTGAAACAAATGGCTCATTAAGCTTATTATTCACTACTAATTCTCGCATATTCCTTTTGTGGTAATTGAATTAAAGTCATTTGCAGCGTGCAGTCCCTATAATTGACCTGCTGTTTGGTCTGCTATGGGGGTGGTTTGTTCCTTTTGCCAGCAATCAGATGATGTACTTTTTAGAGCAAACCAGCCCATCCTAGGAGCATTCCCACCCACACCTTTATGGGTCCCTGTCAGAGGTTTTCTGTGTGGATAGGACCACTCTGTTTTGATTATTTTCCAGAGGTCACTAGGGTTGAACCAAAGCAGAGCTTGAGGTTTTGAATTTCCGTCCCAGTTTCAATTTTCCAGTATCATTCAGTGACTTACGACAATAGCTATTTCAGGATACAGTACTGGGAAATGGAACACATCCTCTGCTTCTTTGTGAAGAGGCAGAAGGAAGCAAAAGTTGTTAAAGAGTCTATTAGAACACCACTGGTGTACTATACTGTACTACTTACACCTTTAAAAAAATGAAAATTCTTCCCAGAAGGAGGAGAGATACCCACCAGTTTTGAAACTGGTGGTTTCAAAAAGTTTCTTGACAAGTTTTGGGGAGTTTCCTACTGTCTTGGCAAATGATCCTTTTGAGGTCTTGGCTGATCTCTGGAATGAGGAAATGGTCAAGGCTATTAACAGGATCACTCCTAAGTGCCTTCTCCCATGGACTGCAGCCAGACCTGCTCCTTAGTTTAGCAGGGAGCTGTGGATGATAAAATGTGTGGGGTGGAGACTAGAGTGGCAATGTTGGGAAACATGGAATCGATCTGATCGACCATGGGCTATGGCCCATTGAAAAGCCTACCCTGTGGCAGTTGTGGCAGCAAAGAAGCAATTCTCTTCCACCATTGCATTTGCACAACGCCATCCAGCAGAACTCTCTTCGGTGGTCAAGGGCTTGTTGCACAGATGGCCACAAGGGAAAGATGCCTGACTGGCATTGGCACCAGGGAACATGTAACCTCCTTATTGCAACAGCTTCACTGGCTGCCAGCCTGTTTCCAGGCTCAATTCAGAGTGCTGGTTATAGTCGATAAAGCCCTATACAGCTTGGGCCCAGACTATTTGAAAAATTGTATCACACCATATGAATTTTTTAAGATCTTCTGGGGAGGCCCTTCTCTTGATTCCACCATTTTCCTAAGCTTTTAAGATCTTCTGGGGAGGCCCTTCTCGTAGATCCTCCCAGGCTTGGAATGCATTGCCCTGAAAAACCAGGTTGGCCCTTCCCTCTTGTCCCTCTGTCATCAAGCAAAAACCTCCCTTTTCAGGCAATCTTTTAAGCAATAAAGGTCTCAGGAATGCTATATTTATTAAACTTAAAAGATTTTTACATAGGTTTTATTAATGGTTTTTGATCTTGGTTTTAATGCTGACATATGTTTTCTAATATCGATGTACGCTTTTTAAAAAAAAATCTCAAGCTCTGGTTTATTTAAAAATTGTTCATGATCGTGTAGTTTTACAGTAATTGTTGTGGGCCACCCTGGGTCCCCTATGGGAAGCAAGGTGACATATCAATCAGTCTCTCCCATTTCCTGCTTTATATATGAACAGCACAAATAGATGTCTAAAACACTCTTGTCCCGTGTATCTTGTTTAATTCTCAGAGACCATAATTGAAGATAGGCTTGTATAGCTTTAACTCTGCCAAGCAAAATAAGAGTTACAAGCCATGTGGCATGGCGTGCCAAGTAATTAGGAAGCCTCTTTTCTTTCTTTTTTCTTTTTAATTCCAAGCAGATTATAGAAACAGGTTTGTCAAGTCCATGGCACACTGTGTATTGTTAGGTGGAGCACCAGAGCTGCACAGATAATCTCTTCATGCTATAAACCAGGGCTGAGAAAATCTTTGGGCTGACTCCCATCACCTCCACTTATCATGGCCAATCGTAAAGCATTGTGGGAACTGTAGTTCAGAATATGAAGAAAACCAAATGTTTCCCATTCCTGCTTTACATATTAAACATTTACTTGGGAGTAACTAGAGACCAAATTGCTAACATGCACTGGATTATAGAGAAAGCCAGAGAGTTCCAGAAAAACATCTACTTCTACTTCATTGACTACACAAAAGCCTTTGACTGTGTGGACCACAGCAAACTATAAGTTCTTAAAGAAATGGGAGTGCCTGACCACCTTATCTACTGATAAATCTATATGTGGGACAGGAAGCAACAGTTAGAACTGGATATGGAATGACTGATTGGTTCAAAATTGGGAAGGGAGTATGACAGTATCTCCGTGCTTATTTAACTTATATGCAGAATACATCATGTGAAAGGTTGGACTGGATGAATCCCAAACCAGAAACAAGATTGCTGGAAGAAATATCAACAACGTCCAATATGCAGATAATAACACTCTGATGGCAGAAAGTGAGGAAGAATTAAAGAACTTCTTAATGAGGGTGAAAGAGGAGAGCGCCAAAAACGGTCTGAAGCTCAACATCAAAAAAACTAAGATCATGGCCACTGGTCCCATCACCTCCTGGGAAATAGAAGGGGACGATATGGAGGCAGTGACAGATTTTACTTTCCTGGGCTCCATGATCACTGCAGATGGAGACAGCAGCCCCGAAATTAAAAGACGCCTGCTTCTTGGGAGGAAAGAAATGACAAACCTAGGCAGCATCTTAAAAAGCAGAGACATCACCTTGCCGAGAAAGGTCCGCATAGTCAAAGCTATGGTTTTTCCAGTAGCGATGTATGGAAGTGAGAGCTGGAC